AAAAAATAAAAAACATAACAACATGAATATTTTTTAATTTCTTAAAAAGTATCTATCGTAATACACTTAAATATATAGTATTTTAATATAAAATAACCTAAAAATTAAAAAAATAATTAATATTTATTATATTTTATATGCTTTCTAAAATATAATTTTTTATTTGGTTATTCAGGTCAAGGTTAAGCCCAAACCCAATTAGGATTTCATTTCTATTAGGACTAGTATTAAAAATTATTAGTTTATTAAACTTAGTCCTAGCCTTTTTAAAAACATTTAGGCTAGCTTGTTGAGCTTAACCTAAATCACTGCCCCTAAACTAAACAAGTGTAGTTATATGACATATATATCCCAAAAATTTAAAAGCTTTGTGAATTAAAAAAAAAAAGATTGCATTACAATGGGAGTTGGGTTTAATGAGATAAACTAATTTCTCATAATGTGGTGAATTAATATTATAAGCAATATACCTACATTTAGTATCTGTCTTGCCTTGAACATGGTTGCTTTCAATAAAACCATAGCATCTACAATAATAATAAAATAAAAGATTACATTGTCAATTTTTTTTTCAAATTTACTCGGTAACTAGATAGGAGAGTTGTATAAAAAAATAATTCCAGATCACTAAGAGACAGCTGTGGAGTCAACTTAGGACTAATATTCTAATTTATTGAGATATTGTATCGAAAGTCGCAACTCATGCTTCAGAGATCTCCAATCAATAACGTTGAATCATAAATAGAAAACTGATAATGATACGAAAATAATGACTTTTAGGATGATAAGTTATATACATACATGACAAATTGAGATAAATCTAATAGCAAGAAAAGAATTAGTTTCCTAAAGAAAACCAAGTTGTTCAAAGAGAACACAGTTTTGTCGGATATGCACAAACTAAGTGCTTTAATCCGCAAATTTACATCGTTGAAAGAGCTGGGGATAAGATTGGCGGGTCCCATTTATTGAGGGGAATATTCGTTGTATGGTGTGATAAATGTACTAAATAACCATTCCGAGGTCGATTCAGTCTGGATGTTGAGTTTCAAATCAAGAATGGCAACAACAAAAAAAGATTGTGTATCAACATTGTTTGCGTTACAACAACATTGTCTGGATTTTGCTTCCCTAAGGTACTGATTAATTTAACTGAGTGTAATCAAACAACATTGTAGTCGTAATAAAGGGCACTGCACTATGGGCTACTGCATTGATCATTGAAACGATTGCGTCTCTCGGTACAGTATGAATTGTGATGAATTGGGTGGGTCCGAGGAGAGGGAGGGTTAAGGTGAATTGTGAATAATCTTATGATTTAATCACTAACAACTATTGGTTGATTTGCAGGAACATAAAAGGATAAATGCTTTGGGGATTGAGAGATGGTGCAAGCTGATTCTCCATTTGTGGTTTAAGTATTGGCGATTAAAAAAGTTATTGCAATCCTAAACGAGCAAAATGTTGAAGCTGTTGATACAAAGCCTGATTGTGCAGATTTTTTTCTGGCGCTATAAGAAGAAATTAATAACAGGGGCTGAATGGAGAGGCAAGTGGGAGATGAAGGAAGTTTTAGATTCTTTACCTAAATGTTTGGTTTTGTTATTAATCTTTCATCTAGAAAGGGTATTGAAGTAGTTGATTGAGCAGTGTATCTTGTAGAAAGAGGTCGTCCCTTTTGCATAAGTTATCTCACCAACGGGCCCTTTGATTAATATTTGACCAATGATTTGAAACCCTTTTTCCCACTTTTTGTTAAAGGAAGGCAGGTTGGAGACTGAAAGGTGTGGCGTTGGTTAATGCGTTGTTGCAGCAAAGCTGATGACTGTTTTTGTTTAATATTGTTTTTTATTACTATTCTCTAATTTTCTTTTGCTGTTTGTTTCAACTGGCATAACTTATTCTTGTTCTTTTGGTTTGTGTTTGTGTTTAGTTCTTTCTGTACAAGATCTTGAGTGATTTTTTTTTTTTTGGGGACAAACATAACTTTGGCTCAATACACTTTGTGTTTTGTCATTAATCCTTATTTTTTTTTAATAATTTAAATCTCTTCACTTTATTCATAAAAGGAACTAAAACATTCAAAAACAAAAATATAAAGACTTAAAACACCCAAAAAAAAAACGAAAATCAATAACAAAACATGAACAAAATATCAGAACTTAAAATTTTTTTTTTTTTTTTTTTTGCTTTGATTATTAGTGTGTAGAGTCCATTTTTTCAATGATTAATAAAATTGTGTTTTGCCAAAACAAATATTTTCACATAAATATCAAGTTACGAGTCGCGGAGTAGAAAATTTTTTCCTGAATTAATTTTCTAAAACAGACTATCAAGAAACGAGGACTGCTTATCCCGCAATATAAATAACCTTTGCAGGGCGGACGTCTCGTTTGTTGGAAAGAAAAACAACCTCAAATTATTTGAACATCTTGAAATTGCCTGATTTAGCACATCACATGAATTCAAGATTTCAAGTAACAGCCCAGTTTACGGCTATTTACAGTCCTCATTCTAGTTCGTCCTTTTCTTTTTCTTTGGAATTGTGGATCATCATACCAAGTAAATGACACCACAACACAGGTGCACGCATAATATATGTATCCTATCAAATGCAGAAGTGCCATTTTGGAACAGGGAGGCTAAGGTAGCTAAAGGAAATATTTTGCTGACTAGAAAGCATAATGTTACCTTTTTCTTAAAAAAAATGGTCAATAACTCGAAAGCATAATGTTAAAAAAGGCTATGCTTACCATAAATAAGGTCAAGGGCAGGTAGAACGAAGGCTAAAACATTGGTTGGACCATCATAGGTTTTTCAAAGGGGAATAGCAGAGATCAACGAGATGAACTTTTCTCTTTCAATACAACTCAACTATCTTCACTCGCCATGAGCTGATCCAAGAAAGGTCCTACAAAACTGGATTAGCACCAATTTCCCTTCAAGAAGTAACTCTTTCTATTGTCGTCTCTTGTAATATATATAGGGAGATTCATCGGTTTACTCATGCAGACTTCAACTTGGCCGATGTAGAAGCGAGATAGGAAAGACTTCTGTGTCCCACAAACAGCAAAAATACTCCTAAAAGACTTAGTGTTTTGAGTGTGGTGAACAGGTCCAGCTGCACAAAAACACACGTGTAGTCAATAAACAGAAACTTCTAGGAAAATTGGGAAGATTTTCAACTTAATTGCCCTGTCAGAAGAAAAATGGAACCACAAAATAAACAAACATTCCACCAATATATGCATCATATACGATAGATGACATAGATTAATGTCATTAGCCTACTAGTTAACCATGACATACACTAAAAATTACCCTTCTCATCAGGAATTAACCACCTCTGACACTAAAAATTACCCTTCTCATCAGGAATTAACCACCTCTGATACAAAATACTTCAAAAACACCAAGTAGAACTGACAGAAAAATGCTCAACTGCTCTGTTCAGGATTAATATGAAAAGTGACCTACCTTCAACCAGAAAAGTGTATAAAGCAACAGAACTGCAGCAATGCCAAGATGGAACAGAGCAGCATAGAGAGCATTTACTGATGAAGCAGGGAAGTTCTTCAGGTTCACTCCTAATCGTAAAAGCTGTAAATGATATCAGACAGAATGAATACTGTTACCACCTACCCCACAGGAGGAATGTGAACCACGATAAAAAGCAGGTACAAAAAATATATGCAAGTAATTGGGAATGTTTCATCAACATTGAACAATCCCTACGCTTCACAATCATAAGTAGCAAAAGAGTACTCAAAATATGAAGAACATTAGCCGAGTAGTTAGATAAAAATGATGTCAAGATCACTAACTGAGACCAAGGTTATTTTACTTTCATCAAAGATTTCAAATAACTTGAATCTACCAGCCATCATATTTTGTTCCAATTATCCCAAACACGCACATGGAGATTATTGAGGATTATAGGACTCACACCAACCAAAAAACCAATAAGTGGCAAAAGGGTCAAAATCAAGAAAGCTAGCGAGAGATTCTGCGGTGGTCGCTTTTCAGGAGCCCTGAATAAGTGGGTTATCTCTTCTTTGGGTCCATATCTTGAATAAGGATCAACAGGTGGAGCAGGAGGGCGAGCTCCCTTTTCAGGTGCATCTGGAAGATCTAAATCAACATGGCCCAGAGGCTGCAAGAAAGAGTTCTCCTGAAAAAAAAAAAGATAATAAAATAAAAGCTCAGACGGTCAGTATAAAAGTGAAGGAGGGAAATTAAAAGAAAGCTTGTAGGGCCAGACACCATGGCAGCATCACCAACAGTCAGCTCAATGTCATATCTGCCTGAGAGATAAAAGAATTTTTCCACCAAGCCAAGAAAATCCTACAAGTCAGAATTAAAAAAAAATGTGAGGAAAACAAAAACTATAAAGTAGATGAATATAAACTGACCTTTATGGACAAATATACGAATTCTGCTTATGTGTAATAGCTAGTTACTACAGGATGTAACAAATGAAAAAAAACAGTACTCAAGAGAACTCCAAGCCAAGACAATAATAAAACATGTGACAGAGAAACTTAACAAGAATGATCTCAAACTTCTGGCCAGTATTCCCAACCACAAAGATGTGTTCAACCTTAGTCTCATGTCTCAACTTAAGAAATGCCTGCAGAACAACAAAATCCTCAATAAAATAAGTGGTGAAAATAATTCATTCAGAAGGTTTAATGTTAATTACTAACCTGATGTGGCTTAAAAGCACGACCATTAGGCATTGTCAATTGAAATGACAAACGCAACTTCTGCAGGTGGTTAGCTGAGAGTGAAACAACATTATTTCTAGACAAATCCAACCTGGATAGGAAAAAGCAGGATGTAAAAAGCCAATTGAAACCCAAAAAGCCACTCAAATACAAAATAGCACTTCATATGTATCATTCAAACTTCAAACATGAAATAGAATGATGAGAAATTGTTTTACTTTACTTATCACTTATCAGAAATCAGTACTGCCACGGATATAACGGCTCATAATTTTTAAACATAACTTGAAACATACGTTTTTCTGGTTTCAACACTTCCCAAATCACTGTCGAGAACAGCAATTTCTGCATTGCCAACTTTATTGATTCCAGTGACATATACTGGCACGTGAATTTGGCCTCCAGTGGCATATATTTTATCATTATGAGATCCATGAAGCACCATCTACAAAATAGGTTTTAAATACAATAAATATGCCCTGATGCAACTGAAAGGAAAACAAATAAGTAAATTAAACAAGAAGGAATACCTCAAAAACAAATATATAAGTTCCCAAATCCACATGCTTTGAGAGAAAACTGAAGACATGAAGTCCACTTGTGAGTCATACTGGAGCTCCTATATCATGCAAAGGTACAGGGTAATCACAAAATGGAAAGTGAGATCCTTCAAAGAGGTAACTAAGTTTTCTGAGAGAGAGGGAAAAATCTCACACCCTGCTCCTGGAAATAAGGCATTGCTCACCTTACTCTCAATAATAGATGAATCTTCAGCACCAGATCTGAATGCTCGAACAAGTTTACCGTTAAAGGTGGTGCAGCTGAACCAAGCACTGTATTCACCTTAACCTGATTAATTTTGAAATGTGTTTGTCAAATTTTGTCAACAGAAAATGACAAGAATCAACACTGCACAGCCGCAAATCTAAGATTAAAGTTGTCAAGAGCCCAAACAGAAATGCAAGTGACTGGCTGAGGGAAAATGTAATGATAATGATGGGGGAAAAGCAGAAGGGCAAGCATATGAGGTGACTGAGGCCCAGAATAAATAAAAAATATTTTCCAACGTCATCAGGCATGGGGCATGACACCTAAATGCTTGCCTTAATCATGGCATTCAGAAACTCATTAAATCCCAAATTCTAAGAGCTACCTAACTTTTGTAACTTCAGTGATATAAAACCAACAGTTTAAAAATCCTAACTCAGTTGCATACCTTAAGCAAGTCTTCATTGGTTAATGAAAAAACAGTGTCAGGAAGAGACAGTATCAATGGGGTGGCAACCCTACAGTTACACCATAAGAGATTCAGTTTATATGCATTTTTCAATTATAATGAAGAGGCTAATCAATCAGAGAAGAAGAATATAAATATAATACCATTAAACTGTAACTATGCAATTGATTTTAAAAGGGTACTCACCTGCTATTCTCTAAAAAAGCTAATGATTCTATTTGATTGAAGAAATCCTTTGCATCTCCTGGGATTCCAATGCCCAGGAAGAATTTTGCCAAACCCATATTTATCTGCTGGAAGCTGGAAATATAAAAAACCAAAGCATTAATAGAACATCTTTCAAAGACTAAGAAAAAAAGTAATCCCACACAGTCCACGCACATTCAATTTTTCAGAAGTTATGTCAGAAAATGCTGTAAGCCCCCGCACAACCGAAGCAGTCGTGGAAAGAGAACCTTGATACTCACGTCCACCAACAATTTTCTCATCAAAGTAAAAGGTCCCATCATCTGAAAATAGACAACATGCTCATCTAAGACCACTGTAATTATGCATAAAGCTTAGCAGCAGGACAAGAAAATGCAATGACTACAAATGGAGAAAAGTGACAATTATTGCTCAAGTCTAGATTATCAGGTAGCACCAAATACCAAATAGCTTTATCCCCAGTCCCCACGATAAAAAAGTGATAAAAATATTAGAAGTTAGGAGGAAGAGGGGCTAGAACTAGGAATGTTAACAATCTACAAGTATCTTCTAGCTACATTAAGGCACTTGATATCGAACGCAGCAGTAATTTCACTCATACTCAACCCTACAAGAGAATTAGAAGTTCATGTACACAAGAAACAAAAAGCCTTTTGATACGAGAATTTTAGAGGTCCATTTACTTCCTTCAGCCACCAGCCTACTTAGTTCATTAAAACATAATTTGACCACCAATAACAAGGTCCCGTTGCAGAAAAACAGAGAATGGAGGTCAAGAAAATAGAAATCCCAAAGAAAAGCCATAATTTTACAACATATTAGGATATGTCTATAATCATAGTTAAATAACATTAAAAAAAGGAAAAGTACAACGCAAGGTCAACATGAACACCAAACCTAATGAAGCTTAGAATGCACTAACGTTATGAGCAATAGAGCCTATCCAATACAAAATCATAAGATTAGAAAAGGACTTCATTGCCACTACATCCATAATATAGATTTCTAAATTAATGTATAATTTAAAAAAAAAACATTGAATGAGGAATTAGATAAACATACCATATTTCTCAATGCTGTCAAAAAAGCTTCAATATATCATTTTTCACCATATCAATCTGCCAATATGGAACTAATGTAAGATACCAATAAAAGCGCCCATAAAGATATGATTGCACGATACAACAGAGAGAAGCAGCAGCATTGGCATGGCATCAATCAAATTACAGGAATATTACTCTCTAATTGTCATGTCTACAGCAGCATTTTCACGGGCAAGCCTGCTCTCTCACTCCTCTTCCCCTTCTATCTCTCATGCTCATGTACACAGTGTTATTAAATATCAGAAGAGATTCACTATTTCACTTTAAGCCCCTTGAGGAAGGCTTCTTTAACCTTGCCACTCTTTGGTTTGGATCAATTCGCTTTGGCCCATCAGATGATGATGAAAGTCATATTCAGTTCACAGTTTGTTGGTGTCTGAACAGTTCACTTAAAATATTCTAAGGAAAATTATTATTAATCAAAACTCAAAAAGCTTAACTAACTAACTACAATGACTTTCTAGATTTAAGATTATCATCAAAATAGTCAAGCATCAATGCTGTTCAAATTTAACTTGCTAGCACTGCCTGTAAGCTTCATCAAATAAATTTCAGCACAATATATGCAACTACCCTATGTCATTTTTTTAAAATTGCACATTTTAAAGATCCCAAACTTTACCCCAGACCGATCAATTTCAGAAGATGCTAGTGAGATCACCCCAGCAAATGCTTCAAGTGCTAATCCTGCAACATGCATGTAAAAACAAGTTACTAATTATGAGTATGGATTATATATCACAAATACCATTGGGATCCAATGGCTCAAGCTAGCCTAGCCCTAGCTTGACAAAGACACAGAGAGAGAAATATTAACACATATAATTACCGGCAGCATAAGTACTAGACTCAGGGTATCAGGGCTGTAGCGCCATCTTCCATCACTCTGGCTTAGCGCCTGCCAATAATGCATGACATTAACTCTTAACTCAGGTTTCCACATTAGGTTTTGAATTGTGATTGCAGCAAAAGAAAATGATATGAACGGGTTGTGGTTCTATATCCTAATGCAAACATATATAGAAACTTAAAGAAAAATATGATAAAAAAAACCTTGATTGATTGAAATGTCCCATCACCATCAGCAAGAAGCACATCAACATTAGGAGTCTGATCCTGCAAACAACACTGGGAGATCAGAAGCAATTATAGAAACATATATTACATTGCTTTGTGGCAGCAACAGTACTGAATTCTTTGGGGGAAGGGAGGACATTAACAGAACTGAAAAAAAGTCTCAGAAGAGAGATATCTCTGTAATAATAGCTAAAATGTCTAAAGAACATTGAAGGGAAGAAAAAAAAAAATACTCACTTGCACAATTAAATAAAATCCCAAGAATTACCTTTATAAGAACCAGACTTCCTATTGAGTAGTATATGTCGAACAACGTACTTGCATCACTGACAGTGGCTTGCAGTCTTGAAGCAATATTCTTAACAAGTAAAACAAATGCCAACGTCAATTTTGAGATTCAAACACAACGATGAAAGTTTCACAGGCAACAACATTTAAGCTGCAACAAACGAAATAATGGGCATGGCATGCAGGTACCTTGAGAACCTTCTCATCGACCTTGCATTTCAATTTTCCATTAACTTTTAAGGCATAGAACACATCCTTTGGAGGAGATGATGACCCAAGAATCTCCATTACTTTTTGACAAGCAGTTGTGCTCACATCAGGCTTCTTTTCTATTGCAAGAATCTCATAAATGCTCAAGGCCTCATATGTATCTTCTAAACTGATAAGTGATAATGCAAGATTATAATTAGTTGCCTATCAAAGCGATACAAACCAAAGAGATTAACTGATGATATACGGCGCCTAAGTATTGTCCCTCCAAACTATCAGAGAAAAACAAATAAGATTTGGCGTCAATCTTTTTTTTTTTTTGACCAAATGTACGTCAATCTCGATACATCAGAAAAATATTGGAATCGCCAAAAAGTAATCATTTTTTTTTTTGTGCTTTCAAAATGTAATTGGCGTCGAGAACAGTTCGCGGCACAAGACTCTCTCACCAATCCTCCGTTCTCCAAGGGAAGCTGGAGGACGGATATTAGCATCCTGAGATTAAAAAGGTTTAACTAGGGTTTAGTTCACCTGGGATAGGATCCATTAATAGGCGCGAAGAGCTCTACGGCCACAGTTCGATGAGAATCCGAGATCGGCTCGTAAATCACCGCCGCTTTACAGATCGAAATAGCCAGAAGCAACGCCAGAAATACAGCTAGGATTCTGGCCATTCCTGCACCAATAACAGATAATTTCAATTATCAGCATATGAGCATAGGAACGGCTTCATCAGTAATTTGCATGTGGATCAGTTAAGGTTTAATTGTGAAGAAGGGGGTCAAATCATACGTATATGAAACATGATATTGCGGGCCTAGTAACTCAGCGCTTGCACTTCTTCGATGGCGACGACTTACACTGGGATATAGTTCGGGTTTGTGTCCTGAGGGTCATAGAACTTGAGAACTAGGCGAGATACTAGACAAGGGGGAGGAAACGACTCAAGTCTCCGCACTAAATTCCAATTCCCAAAATGTCCCTGAGTTGCCATTTAATTACCGTGCACGTTTAAAAGCGCTCCATTCAATTAAAAAATATAAGGCATTTTTAACTAAATCTCACCTCCCAATAAAATAATTATTTACTTTTCAACTAATGCCATATTTTATATTTATTTTATTAAATATTTTATAATAAATATAAAGTCATTATCAATAGGGATATTTTTAAAAAACAGATAATAATTATACCTCAAAAGACTAAAAATACCTTACATTTTTTAATATCTAACTCCTTAAAAATATTTAATATTTTTAAACAGAGGGAGTGTATAATGTGACAGTCACAACTCATCATCATAGTAATTGTATAACTAACATTTGTTGGGTATAGACTCTTCTATTAAAAAATATAAAACATTTTTAATTAAATTTTAATCTTAATAAAATAATTATTTATTTTTAAACTAATTCTATTTTCTTATATTTATCTCTATTTAATATAGTGTTTCACCTTAAAAAATATAAAGTAATTTATTCAATATTAGTATTTTTTTAAAAAATAATGATTATATTTTAAAAAAATTAAAATGCTTTACATTTTTTAACACTCAATTATTTAAAAAATACTTAGGGAAGGAGCAACCAATATTTGGCCCAAAATATAATTAATATAAAATATGAAAAAACAATCAAATAATGTGACTTATTGTTCGCATCGAGTAATGAAGTAAATATATGAAAAATATTTTCTGCAATATTTACATCAAATTACATTGTTTATAAGTTATAAGAAAGCAAGAGTAGTCACTATTATTGTTTGAAAAGTCAATGTACTTTAAAACATTAGTGCCCATGGTTCTTTTTTATTTAATAAATGCGTGAAAAAAATATAAAAATGATACAAGAACGAATTGAATTTTAAAATTATACAATAACAATTTAAATAACTATATAATTATAAAGTATTACTATAATAATCAAATATGCTATGTTAGCTGTTCAACTAAATGGATATAAGTTTTTGTAATTAATCATAACCATTAATGAATTATCAAATATATCTAATATCAAGGAAAAATCAACCATAGATTAAATAAAGACACGTTTGTTATTTATTTTTTAAAAAGAAAATTGGTTATCCGCTTATCTAATATCTATCAAGTATCTACTAGTTCATTTTTAGCCAATTTTAACGCTGGATGTAATTTCCCGGCTTGCCGATTCAAGCTCGTGACTTTCACAGATAATGGCAAGAGACTTTACAAATGAGCCACAAGTTGACATGGCACACTGGATGAAATTTCATAAACACCTCTTGTTCGTGATACTCATTGTTGTGGAAGCTTTCCAGTTTTTAGCGCCCATGCTTTTGGCTGAATTTTTTTGTTAAAAGAAAAACAAAAGAGCCTATAGTCTACTCATTCCATGGAAGTATAGGATGCACATTGTAATTGCAAATGAAATATGTAACTAGTCCAGCTGATCTCAAATCTCAATCCCAGTCTCAAATTTTATAGCATCGAGTATAAGATTCGGGATCTAATTATCGCTGCCAATCCAAAAATTATGAAACCAATTTTTGGACCAAGGACAAAAATTATGAGAACTTTGATGAACTAAAATATGCATGCAATCAGCCACACAAATCAATGGGCGTATTTTTTTAGGTATAATTGATTATAAAAAATTAATTAAAATAATTAATTTTTGTTATAACTAATTATGTTATAACACGATCATATTTGGATATTATTCTTTAAAGTTGATTTTCATTAAATTAAAAGTATTTGGGTGATTTTGTCAAACTTAATTTTAAATATATATATTACCATAAAAGAAATTACTTATTAAAATGTAAATATTGATAAAATTATTTATAATGTTGTTAAATTTTTTGAACTCTATTTTGCAAATAAAATTAATTTTAGCATAAGACATAAAATAAAAATAACATGTGAAAATTAAAACACATGATAGAAATTAAGCTAATGAATAAGTTAACATATCAATTTGAAACAAAAAAATTATGCAATTCCTTGAAGAAAAAAAAATATTATTGGAAGCACTGTCAGTATAATTCTTTCAATCCTAAATTCAGTGATGTGGCTTAATTTTCTTATAAAACCAACTGAAAACTACAACTCATAGATAATGAAAGGATTGATGAAACTAGCTGCACTGAATGGTATGTTTGTCAGGAAAAATTTCTGACAAGCAAGTTGAATATGATAAGCTTCTCTCCCCAGCTTACGATAAAAACATGGTTTTGGTATAAATAATCAATTTATGGAAAAAACGTGAGTGTTTGGATAGTTTTTACCAAAACCATAATTTTTTTTATCTACAATCGATTGTGACTCATATCCAAATAGGCACAATATAAACATGCTACATGTTGCACAATAATTAAAATCACACGTAACAAATTTCAGGGTAGCCCGTAATAGTTGAATAGAATCGACAAATATCCTTTGATCTCAAATCTAAGCCTTTTCTTCTTGCTAGCTTCAATCCAAAATATAAATAATTCAATATTTGTAATTTGTTTTTTTTATTTTATCTGCTATATTTATTAATTTTGGTATGTGAATTTATGTCCTTCTTACCTATTATAAATTAAAACTGACAATAAAAAATAAAAAATAATATGTTATAAAATTAACAACTAGAAAATAAAGATATTGAGAGAATAAATAAAGACAAAAGAATGAGAAATTTTTTTTATAGATTATTGTATCATTCAAGACAAATTACATGCCTTATTTATAGGCATGGTCTTACACATCAAAAGTTACATAAATGATAAAAGCAAATAAAGGGTAATCAACTCTTATGATGGTGGGAGTTTTATGGGAGAGCAATTAACTCTCATGATGGTGGGAGTTTTGTGGGAGAAGATGAAGAGGTGATGAAGATGGACATTCACTATCCTTATAATATTCATAACACTCCCCTTGGATGTCCATTATATAAGAATGTGCCTCATTAAAAACTTCAATTAAGAAAAACCCTGTGGAAAAAAAACTTAGCAGAAGAAAAGAGTACATCATTCATTGATACACTATTTAATGCTGCCTCATTAAAAATCTTGCTAGGAAAACCCAATGGAAAAAAAAACCTTAAGCAAGGAAAAGAGAGTACAGCGCATATTAACTCCCCCTCTTGACAGCATCAATTGATATCTCTAAGTCTGTGAAGTCCAATATCATGAACAAGTTTTTCAAATGTTTTAGCAGGAAGTGACTTGATGAACATATCAACTAGATTTTCTTTAGAATGAATTTGCTGGATATTAATTTCACCATTCTTTTGAAGGTCGTGAGTGAAAAAAAATTGGTGAAATATGTTTTGTTCTATCTCCTTTAATATATCATTCTTTCAATTGGATAATACAAGTAGTATTATCTTCATATATGATCGCTGGGATCATTTTATTAAAAGATGGACTATAAGTAACTCGTATGTGATGCATTAATGATTTTAACTACGCACATTCTTGACTTGCTTCATATACAGCCAGAATTTCTGCATGATTAGATGATATGGCTGATTTTGTCTGTTTCATAGATCGCTATAAAATGGCTGTACCACCATATATGAACAAATAACCTATTTTTGATCTACCAACATGAGGATCAAACAAAAATCCAGCATATGTATAACCAATAAGGTTAGCATTAGGTGCTTTAGAATAAAATAATCCCACATCCATAGTACCCCTAAGATAACAAAAAATGTTTTTAACACCGTTCCAATGCCTTCATGTTGGTGAAGAATTATATCTCGCTAATAAGTTAATAGCAAATGAGATATTAAGTTGCATGTGACTAGCAAGATACATTAATACTCCAATTACACTAAGATATGGTACTTCTGGATCAAGTAGTTTTTATCACCTTTTTAAGGTCCAAAAGGATCTTTATCTACCTTCAATGATCTTACAACCATTGGGGTATATAACGGATGTGATCTATCCATATAAAATCATTTTAAGACCTTTCTTATATAAGTTTCTTGATATAGAAAAATTTCATTATTCATATATTCCATTTGCAATCCAAGGCAAAATTTTCTTCTTCCCAAATCTTTCATTTCAAATTCTTTCTTTAAGCAATTTATAGCTTTTGAAAGCTGTTCAGGTGTTCCAATGACATTTATGTCATCAACATAAACAACAATTATAGAAAACTCTTTTCTAGATCTTTTCATGAAAATACAAGGACAAATTGAATCATTTTTATAACCTTCTTTCAACAAATATTCACTAAGTCGATTAGACCACATACGCCCTGATTGTTTCAATCCATATAAAGATTTATTCAACTTGATTGAATAATTTTCTCGAGAACTTGAATTGTATGCTTCTGGCAATTTGAATCCTTCAAGGAGTTTCATGTAAATGTTACTATCGAGTGAACCATGCAAATAAGCTATAATAACATCTATTAGATGCAAATCAAGTCCTTTACTTATTGTCAGGCTAATTAAATATTGAAAAGTAGTTGCATTCATCACTAGTGAGTATGTTTCAATAAAGTCAATTCCAGGCCTTTGTGTAAATCCTTAAGCTACAAGTCGTGCCTTATATCTTACAATTTCACCATTTTTATTTCTTTTTCACACAAAAACCCATGTATATCCTACCAGCTTAACACCTTCGAGTGTGTGGACTATAGATCCAAAAACATTTCGCTTTTCAGGTGATTTTAATTCTGCCTCAATTACGTCTTTTCATTTTGGCCAATCCTCTCTTTGTTTGCATTCTTTAATGCACTTTGGTTCATGATCCTCATTATCATTTATTACATCAAGCACTACATTATATGCAAAAATATCATCAACATGACTTCATTCTGATCCCATTGTATTCCATTCATAATATAATTGATTGAGATCTCATTATTTTCACACATTTCAGGTGCCTGAGTTTCTTCTGGAATTGAAATATTAACAGTCTCAAGTGACTTTTCATGAGTTACTAACTCTTCTTGATTATCCT